TTGGCTGCATGTGGTGAAAATACGAGAAAACTTAAGATCCGAGAGGCCATCGAAATACTGACTGAGAGAAATCTAATCAACAGGAGACTTGAGGAAGGCAGGATCAGCGAAAACTTTGCATATTGCCTAAACAAACTCGGAGAAAACCAGGCAACAGCATGATCAGTAAAAAGAAGATGACTTGATCAAGGTAGTATTCTTAATTTTATGAAAAGAGATCGCATGGGGATAAGAAAGGAACAATCAGAATCCAAGAGGAGACGTCTTCAGTGAGCCTAATAAAAACAAGTATAACCACGAAATTTGTGTGTTGGCACACAAGAGACTAGGACGTAGGAAGTGATGGACATGGTATCACAGATAGAAATAGGAAAGACGCGGTGGAGACTAAAGCTATTTGGCTAAAATAGTCGTGTTTGATCATAGAAGTGATCCTTGAATCACGACTATTGTTAGGCAATTAGCTCTAGCTTCACTGTTTCTATCCTCCTTCTATCTATGATACCAAGTCTATGACTTCCTATGCCCTAGTCTCTTGTGTGCTAACCCGCAAACGTTGTGGTTCAACATTGAACCTAACCAAAGCAAGCAGTACCACAACATTTGTGGGTTGCGAAAACAAGGTTAAACAGCTTCTATACAACAAAAGGAGACTGCGACCACACAAAAGGCCACACCATCTTGGTCTTCATACCTTCAACCACTTATACAGCTATCAGTCCTTTACCACCAAATATAACCTAGAGTGACAGGAATTCTTATTCAAGATTTAATGATAGTTCCTAAACCTACTTTATACAGATGAAAGCCCCTATATACCAAACAAATTTTATCCAACTCCGATGTATCGAATTCTGAGATTTTGACAACACAAGACAGTCGAGGGAGCCTAGGACTTGCCCTATTGCGTTCTTACCGTCATAACTCCATATACACTCTCCTTTCTTCTCAGCTCCCTAGTCTCCAATACATGAATACCAACTATCCTGTCAGCCAGAGACACTACCTCATATAGCCCTTGCTTTGTTTTATTTATACTGAGATTAGAATAATGGAAATCCTAAATACTTTTTATTGGCATTCTAAAGACGAAGTCCATACCTCATTGAGCAGGAAGGAATGAAAAGAAATAGCAGAAATCGTAGGGGAAAAAAGATTAAAAAATAGGGATAGTCTAGCCGTACATGTGGGCAATAGTTAAGACCTGTCTACCCGAGACGTCATCGTCTAAACCCTTGCCTCGCGCAACAATCTCGCTAACATCAGTACTGCTGGTAGTGGAGTTGCCGCAGACCTCGTCCGTCCCGGGGCTGGTCAGATCGTCCTCCTCTATGGCTGTAGATAAGGTCGTTTGGTGAGTATGAGAACTGGCGTCCTGTTCACGCACCGGCCGAGGCACCAGGTGCTCTTTACAGCGCTGCTGGATGGCTGTTTCTTCGGCCTCTAGGCGCGCCAGCCTACTAAGCAGACGATGAAGAGTGGCGATGGGCTCTTCAGCAACCCTTGGTTCTTCGGGTCGGAGAATCAGAGCACCAGGAGGGCAGGATTCGGACGAAGCAGGTGGGGGAGCACAAGGCTTCAGATTATGGGGTGGAAGGCAGGCGGTCGAGGAGAGATCTTGAGCCTGGAATTGTCTGCTCATCGAAGGTCTGTCGGTTGCTATTGCCTGTGCCGGATGTCCGAGAGACGGAGAGGAAGCAGCTGATGATGCTTGTTTGATTGATACAGTATCAGGTAGTGAAATCTTAGTAGACCGAGCCAGCAGAACCTGCAAGTGATCCACCAGACTGGTGAGCTTCTGCTCAAGTGAGCTAGTTGCAATGGCTTGATCGGGCGTAACTAACGGTAGTGGCTAATATTGAAAAGTTTTTGTTTAAAAAAAGGAGTAAGTGAATTCGTGGGCGAATGAATGAAGAACAAGGAGAATATATGGCACCAAACCCGAAGGTGAATTGCATTAAAACCGAGCAATATGATTCAACTTCAAGCAATCTTTATTTAATCGAAGGTATAAAGACCAAGATAGTGTGGCCTTTTGTGTGGTCGCAGTCTCCTTTCGTTGAATAAAAGTTGTTTGACCTTGTTTTCGCAAACTCGGTCATATTGGTAAGAAGACTTAAAGGAACGCACCTAGTCCGGAGTCCATTGTATGCATCATCATTTCCAAAGTAGGACCGTGGACAAGGGTTAAGAGGGTGATAACGACGGTGTGGAGTGTAAATGGTTTTCATGAATGCCGCTCGAAGGAGCACACGACACTACATTAAGAATAAGCAC